TACTGTCAAACAGCTCTGTTGCTTTTTGGTGCCATGTACATTGAGATTCATCCATAAATTTACTTTAAGGTCTTTTATTTGTTTTTACATTTGCTTTTTTCATTGAAAGCGTGTTATTAATCTTGCTAAAAATTCATACTCAAAGATACAAACTAGGCACACAACATAGAATGTATTGATTGTGTTCATATGTAGATTTATCTTTGCTATTGAAGAACTCAATCTTTAAATGGAAAAGTATTCTGTAAAATTCACAGTTTGAACATTTTTGTACTTCCATTTGGATTTCTATCGCTTCTAAAATCAGAAGCGGTAGAAATCCACTAACTTATTTAAAAATAAGTTAATGCTTTTTGAGTCAAAACCCTCCAGAATGTAATGTCAGACATGAGCAGGCAGCGCCTGCCATTTCGCAACGCCAGTGAAACCCGGCCCGTTACCTAGCAACCCCAGCAAAGTTCCGCCTGTTACTCTGTTACCTAGCAACTTGAGCTGAGCTCCAGCGTGTTGGTTTTACTATTGAATGCACTGCACAATGGCTGCTGCGAAAGATAAGAGTTTTCTTGTTGACTTACCATCCACAAACCACTTTCTGCATTCTTGTTAGTTGTGCAGGAGGCTCTACTTCTGCTTTTCAAAGAAGTAAGGTTAAATAATTGCGCTACTGTTCACAACCATTTTGATGTGTGAGCATAAATGTTGAGTTGGAGGACATGGTCAGCAGGAGTTTATTTAGATTTAAAGTCACAGGGAGAACTGATCAGACTAAAATGTCATTATCTAATAATGAGTTTGTGCAAAAAATGTAATGAACATGTTTTGCATAGGTCATACACCTGTTTGAGGAAACATAGCAAATCACTTTTAAGGGGTTCTTGACTGACAATAACAGTCAGGTTTTAACCACAGTTAGGCTTGATCAAGATGATTAAGTGGAGAAGAAAAGAAGAAACTTTAAATTTCAGTATCTGCTGATTTGATCAGAGCAACTGCGGTGTTGTGAGCGTCACATCCAGCACTACCTAAAGCAGAAGAAAAGTTCGACCCGTGGGCTGATAATGTGCGTCTTTGATACCCTTAGGAACGTTTCAGAACATGATGTTCCAGATTAGGTTATAGCGTTTTTATCTACACTCTTGTCTCAAAATTTACCAATTGTGGTTTGGTGTTGGTGGGACAGGAAATTCTTCAAACTCTGCTCTCTGCCTTTACTCTCAGTGTGAGCACTTATTGACCACATCCTAATGACTTAGACATTTTCTATCAATCGTAGACCTTCTCAGCTTCTGTTGCTTTCTAACTACCCAAATGTTGTTCCTGAAAGAACCAGTAGCTATGCCTCTAATTGGTTTCTTGCTCTAGCTTTCGGGCTGAAATAACCTAGATGATGGGTCATGCTGTGGTGGTTTTTGCACAGCTTTTATTCCCTCCCACACACTCTACCAGTCAGAAACATTATCTGTTGAAATCTAATCTCCTTGCCTCTCTCTCTCTTTTTGAGGCCTGATATTTTCCAGCCATCTGCCTTCATTGTGGATCTCAGGTAATGCTGACAGTAATTAGCTGTGGCAATGCAGGCATCACTGTGTGTTTGGTTTAACCCTTTAAGGGGTTCCTGCCCTTGTAATAAACCAGCCTCTATGTAATATAGGAATATGTTTTAATGGATATTACTTGCAATGCTGTTACTTGACTGAAACTTTTAAATGTATTTAAAGTGTAACTCAACCCGATGGGAAAGCAAAGCCGGACAAATGTAGAAAAATTTCTCCAAAGTGGGCGGAGCCAAAAGACACTGAAGGGCGTGGCCAAGTGTGGGGATGAGGGACGTGTCAAAATCAGGATGAAAGAAGGTTTGCTGCTATATTTAACATATTTTCAGACCTTCTGAAGATTTTTTTCAAAAAAAGCAACAAGTGGAAAACCAAATGACTTCTTAAAAAAAAAAACTAGTGACAAATACCGTGGATTTTTTTTTTAAAAGTACAAATTTTGCAACATTTTTTGAAGAAAGCTATTAGAGACAAATTTAATAACTTTAACTTAAAAAAAGGACTAGCGGCAAATATAGCGTTTCTTTTTAAGTTACAAATAGTGATGTTTGCTCAAAAAGGCAACTAGTGACAAATTTATCAACTTTTTTTCGAGAAAACTGCAACTCTAGTAACTTTTTTCCCCCAAAAGTTTTACAGGGACACAGCTAAAACAATAAAAAATAAAATCATATATCTAACATGAAGTCAAGAGGGGACCATGGTCACTTCAACAAGCTAATTTTTAAACACTTTCCATCTTTGACAGGACATAAGTATTTTACAATAAGATTGTAAAATAAAGTGGTATTTCAAGAAGTTAAAAGAGCTGCAAACAGTCTGGTTGCGTAAACGTGCACACCCTTAAACAAACACATAAAACCCACCACTACTTGCAGTGAATTTGCTTAAACTGAAGTAAAAAGCTATTTACCTAGTAAGATTTTTGTGATATTTGCTCATTTGTATTTAGGGTTTCATGATTAACTGAATTACTCGGGTAGCTCGATTGTTAAAATTTCTTTAGGTAAATTATTTTTCTCGAAGCTTCGTTAAATTATGTTATTCTATTTAACGCCATGTGTTCCTGCCGGACAATTATTTCTGTTGCGCAAACCTCTCACTTCCGCCAAATATTAGATGCTAATCGCTATTAGCATAACATAGAGTGACCAAACATCTTCTTTTTGCCGTACATGTCCACTTTTCACGTTTTGTCGTCGGGGATTTCATTGACTGATGAAAATGCCTGGATTTTTAAATTGTCCTTGGGGGACCAATAGGCATCCTGAACTTGATTGGCGCGATTTATTTAATATGAAAGTCTTTATGCCGGAGGGAACAGCGGGGAAGTGCGTGGCAGAGCATGCAGGTAGACAAAACTCAGCTGGCTGATGATTAGCGCAAGTCGGTCACACAAACAAGAAGCTGTAAAATAGCGTCGAAAAGTTAGATGTAAATTAACTGAAGATGAATATATAAACTAGAAACGTGAGAATGCATGTTTTTTTTTTAAAGTGCTTTAGTGAGACTGCTGCTTTTTATTTTTATTAGCGACTTTTGTCCAGGTTGACTTAAAAAGTGAGCTGTTACTGTTGCAAGTTAATTTTCCAAGCTTGTTTGGGAGGCACAGATATGAACATTTGGGCCGATATCTATTTCTGATGTCTAATGCTGCTTTATTTTCTCAAATTTATTATTTGATTAATCATCAGAATAATTGATAGATTGCTCAAATTACTAAAATAATTGTTTGCAACAGTCCTATTTGCATCTTTTTGGTAAAGATATTTTAAATGTTGCAATGTATCTCATTGCATCAAGCATGAGAAGCTCTCATGCTTGATGGCAGTTCTCTTTTATTGACACACTGAAAGAAGAAATATGGGGCAAAGGTAGCTTTACAAGAACTGGAAGTTTGTTTTAAGTTAATGAAAAGACAAGACAGGAACTGTTTATGGAGGCTTTCAAGAAGCCAGCAGCGACACTGAGGGGCTGCAGAAACGTCTGACACATCCTGGTGAGTAATGCAAGCAATATTTTTCTAATGTCTAGACTCATGATTTAAAGGTTGAGTCAGAATGAAAACACAGAGGCCTATAAAGTGTGTTATTCTGTATGTTATTTGTTGACATCATCAGAATAGCACCATATCCACAGTGGAGCATGGCAGTGGCAGCATCATGCTTCCACAGATTGTAGGGATTTGGTCAAGGTGGGTAATGTTAGGAGAGTGTGAAATTAGGGCTGCAACTAATGATTACTTCAGGATTCTATCAATTATTCTGACGATTAATCAATTAATCTGATTAAAAATGGGCACATTCTGCAGGTATTTCCTTTAACCACTTGATATTATTTTAGACAATATTAAAAATGCATAAGGAAATGCAAATAAACAATGATTTTAATTACATTTTTAAATAAGAAAATAAACATTTATTGCCTAAAATGCAGTAACACAGCATTTCTTTAGAGGGCGCTAGATCGTTTGTAGCAAAGGATGCATGTGGAGCTCAGAAACTACAGTGCAGCTTTGATGTGTTGGTCATTTTTCAGATGAATAACTGGACAGCAAAAGGTTTATTCTTATTTGTTTTATCTAGAATTTGAACCAAGTGAAGCTAAAACTATCTCACTTGAGCTCTAAACATTTTTACAGACAGAGCCTTTTCTTTTCATCTTAAATGCAAAAATGTGTTTTTTTAACAGTTTTGGATTAATTACTGCTCTAACCATGTTGTTCTTTTAAAAAAACGTATTTTTAATTTTAGATTTTTAAAAAGTCTCGTTAATTGAGTGTCTCCAGTTAATAATTAATGAATTACTAAATAATTTTAATAAGAGATTAATTACAACTAATCTGATTAATTGTTTCAGACCAGCTTGAAGTTAGTTTTGGCTTTAACTTAAGATGTCTGATAAAAAGCTGAAGAAAAACAGCAACTGAATGTTAAAATGTAACTAAAAATGTTGTTCAGAAAATAATCTGTTTATGAATGTGCAGCCAAGTTATTGCAGAGTATTATTTATTTACATTTTTGCCTCCAAGAGATTTGTGTGTCCTTCTATTTTAAAATATTTAACCAGCTCTGATTTGCTAAAACCTGTCATTTTAACAGATTAAACTAACCAAACAACACAAAGTTATAATAGTTATAATAATATGTGACGTTTTCTCCCATTTTAGCTTGAGATTGGATGGTTGGGTTATTTATAATTTGCACATTGTGTCTGTAGATTTCACTTATACTCACACATTGAATCTTTGCTTTAATTCTTTGTGAAAAAAATACACATAGATTAAATGTTTGCATTTGGAGCAGAAAGTAGAAATTAAATATAACAACAATGTATTTGAAAAATTACACCTTACACCTTTATTTACGGCATATAAGTATTTACACAATGCCTCTTGTAAACAAAAGTCTTTCTTTGGAAGTATGATGTCAAAGGGTTTGTCACATTTCAGTGCAGAAGACATTTACAGTTCATTTTACGACGTGATAAAAGCAATGACAGATCGCACTGAGAAAGCATAACATTTACCTTTCAGGCCACAGTTGTTTAAGGTTTGTTTGGTCCAAAAACAGAAAAATATACTGCAACCAAACACGGAGGTGGCAGCATGATGATATGGGATTACTTTTCACAACAAGACTCGACCCAGAATAAATTTAACAGATTATTTTAGAACACATAAAGACACATTCATACAAAAAATATATTATTAATACAGTAAAGAGGTGAAATTTGAGAAAGGTGAGGAAGTGAACAAGACACGCCTCCATGCTGTTGACATTTTATGTGCTTATAGACCTTGGGATAGTATCACATACCAGCAAACTGTTGATTAGGAGAAACTATCTGACTCTTTGCCAATATTTACTCTTTTTATGGTTCCCCAGTCTAAAAGTTCAGGGAATTAAAACTGTTGCTGGTTCATTCATGTTTCGACCTTGAGGTTGAAAGTTTATCCTGAGAAGAAAGTTGAGTAATATTCCATAAAGGCTGTGACTCATGGAATCAGCGCCAGACGCAGCAGATTACAAATTGTCTAAAGCGACTTTCTCATCACTTTAGTCCACTTTTAACCAGACACAGAGCGACTTTCTCATCATTTTTCTCATCATGTCTAGACTCATGATTTAAAGGTTGTCAGAATGAAAACACAGAGGCCTATAAAGTGTGTTATTCTGTATGTTATTTGCTGACATCAGAATAGCACCATATCCACAGTGGAGCATGGATATGGTGCATATCCACTGATATCATTTAATGATATCATTAAATAATATTAAATGATGGAGTTTATTCAGGTGGGCTTACTCAGTCACAGGGGATACGTGACCTGTCTAGGTAAGAAGGAAGAGTCATTACTTCTGCTGTAATTCAGGAAAGTTTAAAGTCATGTTTTGTGCTTATGTTGAAATCTGCAAAAATAAAACAGTGTCGCAAAATGACACAAAATAACCTTCGAATCTCATAAAAATGAATGTACATGTCAGAAAGAGAGGTAATTAACAAACTTAACTTTGATCACAACCTACTAAAAAACCTTTGATTGTTTTCTTTAGCAACTAAAACAATCACTACAGCCACATTGCATAAGTATGGTTTGCTAGTCAAAGCACCCTTGCCTTTAGATTTTCAGGATAAAAATATTCTCTCAACACTTTATCTGACAGCGGGAAAGAGTTTTGTAAGTCATCTCACAGTCCAAGAAGAAAATAAAAACAGATGTGCATACTTTACTTGCAACTCCCTTAAAAAAGTACTGACAATATACAAAAACAAATCTTACTGAACTTCTTAAGTCACCATCAGTAGAAGCTTTAAATCTAGAGTTACAACCACATTAGCACTTCTTTTTACATTTAGGATATAAAATGAATTTAAATATTCCTCATGTTTTTGGTTTTCAAAGCATGATTTAACATAAAGCCTCCCTTGGGCCTCATATCAGTCTGGTTGCTGCACAGCAGCTATCGGCTCATAAACACCCAGCAGAACTTGAAGTCACTTTTTTAAATGACTTTGTTGCGCCCTGGTTGTGTTGCGTTTCCCGTTGAGCTGCTGATTTGCTCCGGGGTTTCTTTAACGCAAAAAGATAGGTAATTGGAGACATAAAGTGCTTTAAACTTGGTGCTACAGAAGCAGTAAACCACCGGATCCAGCAGACAGTCCAGGTAGGAGAGGACCATGAGGCCGTCAAATACTGCTTCTGCGTTTTCCACGTAATCTCTAAGGCTTTCATTGACCCTAACGATCAGCAGCACCATCCTGGCGATGGTGCACGGCAGGAAACAGAAGGAGAAAACCACCATGACGGCGGTCACGAGGAGGACCGCTCTCCTTAGCTTCGTCTTATCCCCAACGGTTTTCTTCTTCAGTCGATTGACGATGCGAACGGTGCAGTAGACCAGGATGACGAAGGGAATGAGGATCTGGGTGAAGAAAACTATCTCTCTGGCTATGTCCGCAGCTTCCTGGAAAAATAATAAAAACAAAAAAACAAATTGAGATTGTCATAAACGCCAACAACCCAACAGAATGTTCATTAAAAAAATCAGCCAGTAGCTTGATAGTCTTTTCCAAGACTTTCAACCAAATGATTGACTCATTTCCTTATTTTCTAATCTGTTCAGAGTAAATAATTGAAATACTGTCATAAGCTGTGATTCTTTTTCCGGTACCACTTTATTTGAAGGGGGTTGAATAAGACTGTCATGACACTGTCATAAACATGACATAACACATGTCATGCACATGAATAAGCCTTCATAAATATTTATAACTGTTGTCATAAAGCGTCATTCGGTAAATTATGACACTTTTAATACACAGTTGACATTATTCAAAATGTCTTTGTTATGACAACTTGACATTAACCAGGAAATCATTACTGTTTAAACTTTACCTTTAATAACATAAAGTTACCTCATTTTTAAAGTGCAATCAGTAATACTTTTATAACAAATTTATATCAGTAATGATTTCTTGGTTAATGCCAAGTTGTCATAAAGACATTTTGAATAATGTCAACTGTGTATTAAAAGTGTCATAATTTACCGAATGACGCTTTATGACAACAGTCATAAACATTCATGAAGACTTATTCATGTTCATGACAGGTGTTATGTCATATTTATGACAGTCTTATTCAACCCCCTTCAAATAAAGTGTTACCCTTTTTCCTATAAAGGAGGTAAACTGGTTGCAAAAGAGTTTCAATGTAAAATTTCACAAATCTTTTATGAATCACATTTTCTGTTTTTTTCCCCATTTCACACTGCTGATGTAAACAAGAAAAGAGCCTTACCTTCATCCAAGTATTATTCGTATCACTTGTATTCCTGCTGCTGAGGCTGTTGCAGCAGTCAAAGTTCCTCATCATGGTGGGAATGGTGAGAGGCAGAAGCAACACCCAGATGAATATCGAGATGTAGGGAAATTTCTTCAGAGCCTTCAGGAGGTTTTTTCTGCCTGGATGCACCACGTTATAATATCGATCGATAGAGGTCACCGTTAGGAATGCGATGCTGGCGCCACGATTTAAAAACAACATAAACAGCATCGCTTTGCAGATTAACTTATCCTCGCTCCTCCTTTGTTCATTAATGAAGTTATGAATCTTGATTGGTAAACAGATAAGCAGCAGAATGTCAGCCAGCACCAGGTTGAAGAGAAAAATGTTGTTGCTGTTGGATTTCCAGAACTTGAGCTTGAATATGAAGAGGTAGAGGACCGATGCGTTCAGAGGCAAAGCCAAGATAAAAATCACAATCATCACAGCTGCGTAGAACTTATACAGAACCGGGTTATCAGCCTGACAGTCAGTGATGTTGGTTGGTGTAGTAGTTGGAAACAACATTAGGTCTGCAAATGAAAAGGTAGCAGAAATATAAGAACTGTTATTCCCTAAAACTGAAGAACAAATTGTTCCATAAATGTTGAGATCAGCTGGTAGATCAAACCTTACCCTCCAAACAACAGACAAATCCTGTTGAACAAGTTTCTTCTTTGCCTTTGTTATGCTTCAGCGCTCTGGTTTCAGTCCTGGTGTGTGTAAAAAATTGTGTTTTAAAAAGTGTCTGTCCTGCTCTGTGCGACAGGATCTGCGCTGGAAGCCTTTCTCGCAGTAGTTCAGGTCAAATGAGCAGCGTTCCCTCAGAGTTTTTGCTCTCTCCTGAATCTGTGGCTCCTCCTTATTGCCTGAGGAGGTGAGTCATCAGCTGCTTTTCCACTTCTGGACCAGTTTGCGAAATCTTAAAAAACATTCATAGTTCTGCTTCTGTTAGAGGGGCTAAACAAAACCTGGTTGCATATAAAACCAAACTTCACAGTGCTTGGATTCCTGAATGCCCAACTGGAAACTTGTGAAGCTTTGACAAGTCGAAGTAGGAGTCGTGTCAAGACACGTCAACTGGACCTAATTTGAAAGCCAGCTGGAGCAGAAAAAAAGCATTTCACCTTCCAGTAGAGCATGTCACGGCTTCCTGGTGCAAGCTGTGAGATGTTTGATCGTCTGAGTAAATCCCAGAAGCTGCAGTTTGTCCCAAGACTGACAGTTTTTGACAGTGACTCAATGTCACTTTAAAAAATTGTGATGTGACGGGATATTTAAAGAAAAACTCCTCTGAGTACACAGATGTGGGTCTCTGGGAATAAGGGGAAGCCTACACTCTGCCGTCGGTCTATGTAAGGGAATGTCAATGAAGCTGTGAGGAATGTTGCATCTTGAGGGAGAAACATTTCTTTAATCCATGAGAAATGGAGGGTTGCCTTTGGGCCTCAAAGTCTGCATGCTTTGAACGTCTCTTCTACCCCAGCAATAAGTCCAGACAATGTTGCAGATTGAAATATGAGGTCAAGGTCTGGTTCAGAGTGGGGCCTCTTCCCAGACCTAAAGGTGAAATTTAGATGATTAAATCACTCCAGATAGTGTGGACATACCCAAATCTTTGTTTCTTTAATTCTAGTAATAATGTTGGTATTAATCATCTTTTGCCAGCCTGAAACAGGCTGGCAAAAACATGTTTCCTGTTTCAGGCTAATTTGAAAATTACTTTTAGACTCCATTTGAGTTGATTCTTACTCAGGCAAACTTGATACAGGACAGAACGGACAACTTTAAAAACTCAATACAGATAACCCAGCCTACTCACAGCTCAGTATTTGTGGAGAATTTGCCTATTCATAGATGTTTTTCATGAAATATAGCTAAATATTATAGATTGAGAAGTTGAAATTCATCTTCAACTTTCTAGTCATTGAAAGTTGGCTGAAAGGAAGACTGTAGACTTTACCTTCTGCAGGACAGTGGACATCCTCACAGAGACAGACAATCATTTAGAAAGACCAGTCTGCTTTGGACTTTTAGAGAAAGCTAGAGTACTCCATATAGAAAGACCTCAGGCTAGGATTGCTGCAAGGCAACAGTGCTGCCAACTGTGTCTGTTCAGCTAAATTTCACACAGTCATACACAACTTTTATTAAACCGTCGTTGAAGAACATCACAACTTTCTGTGCTGTCACAATTGAAAGCAAAAGGGGGTGACTATGCATAGAAGGAATCTATTTATAAATCCCAGAGTTGAAGCAGAAACCAGTCGATGATAGAGGATCTGGAACTAAACAATAAAAGCAGGTGTTTTTCTGCGGTTTTTGAAGAAAATGCACCAATAAATGACCAAGAGTTTATGTAGAATGAGCAATTCCTAGAAATACCACACTGAACTCTTAATCTTGTTACTGAAGAGCACTAACGGTTCCTTCAATAGTTCTTGGTGTAGCACCACCACAGGCAAGGAGGGTCTACTTTCCTGTGGTTAACTGCATGGATGGATTAGCTAGAATAAAGACAATCCTTCAAAAAAATTCTCACATTCTGTTTATAGCAAACAGTGAGGGACGATCATTCAAACTGTGATTTTCAGGGGTTTGATTGGACGAGTAATGTCTGTCAGCTGCATTCCAGAGCCAGATAACTTTACACTGAATGTGTTTAGTTGTGTTTACTCAGAGAAATTATTCTGTTTCCACCACACCCACTGAGACAGGAAGGATTTACACACACACACCGAGTGTATGCATGTTCTGTCTTGCACCCACTGGCCAGTGTGATGCCAGCAGGGATGCGGCCAGGAATAGTGGGCCCCCTGACAAAATTTGTTTGGGCCCCCCTGCGCAGCTGCTGTTACAATTTTATGAGTCTATTTGACCCATAAAA